TTCCGTCATCGTTCACAGCGCTCCATGCCCCTGCCACTCACATACCACATACGCACACACTTACAATAAATAAGATATATTTTCATACTCTAGAAATAAATCATATGGCAAAACAACGTTTGCCGGGTCAGCTAGTATATATATATATATAATATCAGAATGTGTTGTATTGATCATTTCTGTTACAAATTCATCACGATATACATTTCGGTCATACCTCATTTCTCTTATAATCATCTGAAAATGCGAATATATAACTGTCAAAAATTAAATCCATTCTTACTTGAGCAATATGAATGCATGCTTACATATTCTCTTGATTTTTGAAAATATGGTTTTGAATTTCAAAATACACTGTTGATATTTTTATCCTAAAATTATGGCCAAATAACCGGCAGCAGAATATGTCCAGTAAATTAACCGTAAAACTTACGGCAAAAAAAATTCTTTATCTTTACGGTTTCGAAACCATTTGTAACTAGCATGGTTTCAAAACCAAAAAAAAGAAAAGAAATTTAACTGAACATAGAGATAATTTAGCAACTTTATAGTGCTGCCATCTATGCGTAAATGAGAGTATCGTACTCTTATAAACCAGTGTCACAAATTGAGGAGTGCAGGTTACAAGAAACTCTCAACTCTTGAAAGGAATGGAGGAAATAAAGTAGTATAGATACTGGAACTCGAACACCTGTTCTGTCGGCCATGAGATTGACAGATTAGCCATCTAGACGATAATGTGTACCCAACTGCTAGGAACTAAGTAGATTCATATGCTGGGGCGATAAAATTCTGGTTGCTTAACCGTATTAGGTGAAATCAGTTATTAAATGATTTTTCTCTCAGTTAACAGTTTGAATACCATCTAATTTATGCTTATTTGACTGTTTTGCTTGAATATGGTAAAATAGCACTTAAATAAATTGTTATTTAACCATTTTAACTGAGAAAGTTCTATCAGTGTACTTGAAAATCTTATTTAACAAGGTGGACCAGCTGGTTGTCGCAGGCGGCTATATGTTTTTATGATTAAAAAAAGATTAAGATTTAAAAAAAATCATGTGTGCAAAGATAAAGCGCGTTGAGAAAGTGGGTTCATGTCAATGAGATTTACATTTATGAAGTAGAAATGTTTTTCTGATACTATCAGTTTTCAAGTATCATGATGTATTTTAACGTGACGATGTGCTTTAAATGAATGATGAGATGATGATGATGAGATGAAACTGATAAGAAAAAAATTATATATGCAGAAGTAGCTTCCTTATTTCATCGCATTTTATAGAGATTTAATATAATTCATATTTAAAAATGTCACCTATCAAAATTCAAACCTGGTTTCTAATTGATATTGCTGTTTGCTTACTTTTTGGTAATGCCCATTTACTTTAATATTTAAAGAAATCATCAAATTAATGTCTGGTTCAAAACATGTATGATAAACTGTTATGCATGTCTTATAATTTATATTTTCCATTTATATTGTATGAAATATTTTTGGTATCTAGTATAAACTCTTCTATTTTTATTTCAAACTCTGTAGTTTTGGAGTTTTCTCTGTAGTTTTTCCTAAAAATATAAATTTATGGTAGTTAAAAGACAAAGTACCGAATATTACTGATAAAATTAAATAAAAACATCTGTTTTAGATTTTAAATTTTTAAAAGTATTAGAAGTTTTGGCACATATTGCTTTAAAAAAATAAGTTTTTCTGATGCGGGTTTTGAATTTCCTTTGAAATCTTTTGAAAGTATATAACATGACTTGCATAAATAATTTAAAAAGTTTTTTTAGTTACTACAATATAAAATATTTAAGTGTATGAATCATTATAAAACTAAAACTAATGTCTCTAAATTTTGATATTTCAGTGTTTATTTACTTAAATTCATTGAAAAATACTTAAAAGCAATCAGAGCATTTTCTTAAAATGTTAGGTTGATTTTTCTAACTCACTTTTGGCTGCGAGGCGTGTAGGCTGCATTTTCCCTTAAAGTAGTATGAATTAAGCTTATTATATTTACAAATTGAGCTATCAATTAAAAGATTAAGCTTATTAGTGAATAATAATTTTCAAAATTTCTTTCGAATTACCAGAAATAATTACTTTAACAGAAACCTTAATGATTTCAACTATAATTCCATAAAATTCTTTCTTCAGACCTTTGTTCAGACAATAAATGTCTTTATTCAGACCATTAGAACAATAATTGCAGGTAACTTTTATATTTCAGAATAATTACATGAAATTAATGTATTGACTATTTAATAGCTAATCTACTGTCGGCTGGTAAGTTAATGTTTCTTCTTCTCAATTTAATTTTATTTTAATAATAATAATCGATTTCAATTCAAATACAGTTTACCCGTAATTAATGTAAACGCTAATATTAAGAAATATATATGCAGCATAAATTTAAAAATTAAATCAAATATTAAATATCCAAAAATGTATTTATCACAGACCCATCAGTTACTGATAAAATAAAAAAAATTTTTTTTACATCAGTTAAGATACTGTGCCACTGAGGAACTACACAGAACTTCATCAAGCAGCTGAATTGAAATTAACATACTATACCAAAAGCTGTACCAGGAAAAGATGAATATTCTCTCTCTCTCTCTCTCTCTCTCTCTCTCTCTCTCTCTCTCTCTCTCTC